TACAAAGAAAGGTTTGCAACAAGATTGCTGCCGGAGCTAAGAGGATCAAGCAATGAGGACAGGCTAATGGAACTAAATCTCACAACCCTAGAACAGAGGAGATCTGATCACAACATACAAGATATAGAGGTGACTAGAGAGGGTGGACAAGGACAGCATCTTCAAAGCGAGAGGCAGTATGACAAGAGAACACAGATGGATGCTGCAAATGCAAATTAGCCGAAGAATTTTAAGGAAATACTGGGAGCTTGATGACCAGACCACACACTAGAATGTGAAGGGACGACGACGTTTCGGTCCGTCCTGGACCATTCTCAAGTCGATTCTCAAGGTCAAGACTGGGGCCTTGTACGGGTAGTCAGCGAGTGTAATGCGCTGAATGAAGAAGTTGTGGAAGCCACCTCCTTCTAAAACTTTATAGCTAGATTCGACAAAGAATTCGAATGTGAGAACAGTTCAGTTGTTGTATAACACGTGCAACACATGCAACACGTGCAACACGTGCAACACGTGCAAGAGGCGTGGTATAAAGAGCTTGATCTCACGGTCACGTTGTTGCTAATAGGGAAGAGCTGATAGATAAAATTCCCCATCTACCACAACTCCTCCACAGCATCCCAACCTCTTGGGCTGGACGGTAGAGCGACGGTCTTGCTTTATGTAGGTCGGTGTTCAATCCCCGACCGTTCAAGTGGTCGAGCACCATTCCCTTCCCCCCATCCCCCCGTCCCATCCCAAATCCTTATCCTGATTCCTTCCAAGTGCTATATAGTCGTAATGGCCTGGCGCTTTCCCCTGATAGCTCCCTCCCACCCTTCTCCAGACCCTCCCAAAACGGCTCCTGCTGCCACAACCCCCTTCAAACCACCACCCAAAAAGTTCAACCACCACCCACAAAAAAAAAAAAAAACATTCGCCCGTCTTCAGTAATTCGCCCGAACCGCCTCGTGCATTTCAGTGTATTTTTCAAGACATAACGAATCACTTTGTTTTTGTCCGCCTGCAACTCTGGGCTCAAAGGTCGTGCAGTGGTGCTCAGGCAGCGAGGACGACGACGCCGCCGTCGTCGTGGTCGTCGTCGTCGTGGTAACAGCAGGGATGAACCGCCATACAGAAAGTAGATCCCAAACATGTCCTGGTGTAAACATTGGGACGTCATAGACATCACAGACACACACACACACACACACAGCTCCTGCTCACTCCTGTGTCAAACACAGAAGTGGAGCTCTTATTTTGGGTTAGGTTAGGGTAGGTTTGATCAGGTTAGGTTGGGTTAAGCGACATTAGGTTAGGTTAGGCTGGGTTATGCTGGATAGGTTGGGTAAGGCTTGTTTTCAGGGGTAACTATGACTTAGAGGAGTACGTACTGAACCTCAAACCTAAGGAGAGAGAGAGAGAGAGGAGAAAGTGAGGAGAAAGAGAGAGAGGAGAAAAAGAGAGAGGAGAAAGAGCAACAGGAAACCGGGTGAAAGACAGAAACAAACATGTGGAAAAGAAGGAAGAGGATAAGAGGAGAGGTGACAAGCCAAAATAATTTTTTGTTTGTATACCCAACCACTTGGGCTGGACGGTCCTCGCTTCATGCAGGTCGGCGTTCAATCCCCGACCGTCCAAGTGGTTGGCCATCATTGCCCCCCCCCCCCAACCCCCCGTCCCATCCCAAATCCTTATCCTGACCACTTTCAAGTGTTATATAGTCGTTATGGCTTGGCGCTTTCTCCTGATAGTTACCTTCCCCTGTAGGCCAAGAAGATAAGGATTGGAAGAGACGTAAGAGAACAGGAACAAACAACAAAGGTAAATAGGTAAGACAGGAGTAGACAGAAGACGAGAGTAAGTGAAAATATAGATAAGAGAAAAATTTGATGACAGAAAGAGGGGACCAGAAGAGCAAAGAGGAATAGGGTAATACAGGAAGAGGAAAAAAAATGTATTATCGAGCAAGAAAATAAATTATAAGAGCAGGGAGAGATGGGGAGTAGGAGAAAGAGGAAGCAGAAGAGAGCGACTTTGATAAAAATAAGAAACGAAAGAAGGGGGGGGGAAGGTTATCTTGAGATGATTTCGGGCATTTTAGTGTCCCCGCGGCCCGGTCCTCGACCAGGCCTCCACCCCCCAGGAAGCAGCCCGTGACAGCTGACTAGCACCCAGGTACCTATTTTACTGCTAGGTAACAGGGGCATAGGGTGAAAGAAACTCTGCCCATTGTTTCTCGCCGGCGCCTGGGATCGATCGCAGGACCACAGGATCACAAGTCCAGCGTGCTGTCCGTTCCCGGCCGACCGGCTCCCAGCGTGCTGTCCGTTCCCGGCCGACCGGCTCCCAGCGTGCTGTCCGTTCCCGGCCGACCGGCTCCCAGCGTGCTGTCCGTTCCCGGCCGACTGGGGAAATAGAAATACGTACATGAGAAAGAACGATAGATCAAAATATCAGCATTAACGAGATAGAGAACAACTTGGAAACAGATGACAAAGATGGATATTTAAGACGATTCAGAAGCCCGAAATAAATAATAATAATAATAAAAATAAATGTCACCTAAGAAATAAATAGTAATAAATTAAGAATAAAGCGAAGGGAAGAAATAGAGCCAAAGATGGTAAAATAAATGTGTGGCCAGACAGAAAAAAAAGAGGAGGACGTAACACAGAGACAAAGAAAACACCGAGTCTAGGAAATGGAATAAAGGAATTACAGCATTCTTCAGCATTCTTCAGCATTCTTCAGCATTCTTCAGCAGTCGTTCTCTTTAATTGGCATCGTTCATTCTCCCCTTTATGTTTTCCCTCACGCTGCTTTGTCCTATTCCTCTTTATATGCCCTTCTACTCTATCCTTTTTTTCTTAATTGAATTATCATCATTATTATATATTCATGTAAGAGTCAAACAGGCATGCAATTTAGAATTACATTCAGAAACAATTTTGATTGCAGTGAATGAAGCTAATGACTGATGCAGTGCTAACAACAGTGTAACAGGCCTGAACACAGTGTCAGAGAGAGAGACATTTGGAAATATCTAGGCAACAACACCTGCATTCAAGCAGCCTTTAATTTCAGTCAAATAAACTAACCAAATGTTACAAGAATTGTTGAGACACACACACCTTTTTGTGAGAGCAATTGAAGACTGATTCCCGAGGCATTACTGTATATTACAGAGCTATCAAGGGGGGGGGGGGAGGAAAATAGGACTAAGTGGTAGTGAATAAATAGAAATTTGGGAAAAAGGTGGTAAAGAAATGACCAGGGGTCAGAGTCACGATGCAGATACGCAAGTATTTACGAACGTACATATATTTCCTCAATCCTTGACGGCTTTGGTTACATTTATTAAACATTTTACAACTGTGAAAACTTCCCAATCATCAGTTGTTATTGTTATAAACAGCCTCCTGGTGCTTCGGAGCTCATTAACTGTTCATTAATTGTAAACAAAGCCGCCAAAGATTGAGAAAAGGTGTACAGGTTCGTAAGCACTTACGTGAACTCGTAACTGCTTCGTGAATCTAGTCCCAGGTCACATAATTGAAAACCAGTGATGGGAAACCAATCACAAGGGCATGTTGCAAACAACTGCCGATAATCTAACAATTGTAATCCCTGCTTCAGCCATCAGGGAGACTCAGACAAGTAGAGAACAGATGATTACATTAATGACTCTTGAGTGGGGCTTGTCCCTCGATAGAATTCTTGGTGAATCGGATACTTTTGATATCGTTCGCCTTATGGGTTTCTGTTCTCGTTCAATTGGCATCCTTGGTGATATTTAGCGCCCTCTGATTATTGCTCACTTTGATGGTGCTACACAGCCTTCCCGGTTTCGTGCCTTCTTCTGATAATTACCTTACCTTACCTCTTGGGTGGGGGCGGGGGGGGGGGGGTGAGCTTACCTATTCACTGAATGTTTGTGGTGAAAATTTGAACACAAACCTGAATGGAGTGGAATGGAAGAGACATTTGAGCATCACTGGAAATAATTTTTCATGTGATATATATATATAGAGTTTCTCATTCGTTTCTCATTTCTTTTTCATTCTTCTAACTCTCTTCTATCATTGGTTAGTCATTATACGCATCTTTGTACTCCTCTTTGTATTCATCTTTGAACTCATCTTTGTATTTTGTAATATTTTTTTTCATTCTCATCTGAATTTTCTTCCTGAGACTTGTTGATATTAGTTTTATGTTTCAGGTTCCTTGCTTATTACTCCTGCTGTAGCTAGGTGACACACTTGCTTCTCCTGCTGTAGCTAGGTGACACACTTGCTTCTCCTGCTGTAGCTAGGTAATACACTTGCTTCTCCTGCTGTAGCTAGGTAATACACTTGCTTCTCCTGCTGTAGCTAGGTAATACACTTGCTTCTCCTGCTGTAGCTAGGTAATACACTTGCTTCTCCTGCTGTAGCTAGGTAATACACTTGCTTCTCCTGCTGTAGCTAGGTAATACACTTGCTTCTCCTGCTGTAGCTAGGTAATACACTTGCTTCTCCTGCTGTAGCTAGGTAATACACTTGCTTCTCCTGCTGTAGCTAGGTAATACACTTGCTTCTCCTGCTGTAGTTAGGTGACACACTTGCTTCTCCTGCTGTAGTTAGGTAATACACTTGCTTCTCCTGCTGTAGCTAGGTAATACACTTGCTTCTCCTGCTGTAGCTAGGTAATACACTTGCTTCTCCTGCTGTAGTTAGGTGACACACTTGCTTCTCCTGCTGTAGCTAGGTAATACACTTGCTTCTCCTGCTGTAGTTAGGTGACACACTTGCTTCTCCTGCTGTAGCTAGGTGACACACTTGCTTCTCCTGCTGTAGCTAGGTAATACACTTGCTTCTCCTGCTGTAGCTAGGTAATACACTTGCTTCTCCTGCTGTAGTTAGGTGACACTCCCCTACTTCTCCTGCTGTAGTTAGGTGACACACTGGCTTCTCCTGTTGTAGCTAGGTGCCAGACTCCCCTGACGCAGGTTAGGTTGACACTGACCCGTTCCACCGCTGCAGGTAGGCGACCAGATCCTGGAGGTGAACGCGGAGAGCTTCCTGGCCGTGACGCACGACACCGCCGTCAACATCCTGAAGTACTCCCGGCGGCTGCGGCTGACGGTGCGACGCGTGGGGAAGGTGCCCCACTCCTGCACCACCTACGACAGGCGCTGCTGGCCTCCGGCCCACACCAAGTGAGTGACCGCGTCCCTCTGATCTTGTGTGTGTGTGTCTTGTTGGTTCTTTCTTCACTTTGCTGACTTGCCTTTCTTCTCTACTGTTATTTTCTCCCTTGCTCTCTCCTTTCTCCTCCTCCTCCTTCCTCTCTCTCTCTCTCTCTCTCTCTCTCTCTCTCTCTCTCTCTCTCTCTCTCTCTCTCTCTCTCTCTCTCTCTCTCTCTCTCTCTCTCTCTCTCTCCCTCTCTCTCTCTCTCTCTCTCTCTTCCCTGCCTCTCATCTTCCTCTCATTTCCTCCCTCCTTTCTTCCCCTTCTTTCGTTCCTTCTCTCCACTCGTCCCTACTTTTTTCTCTCTTTCTCTCCCTCCCTCACTCCCTCATTCACTCTTTCCCTTCATTCATGCCTTCTTGATTCCCTCCCTCCCTGCTCTTCCTTCCCCTCTCACTCTTCCACAATTGTCCCCTCACTTCCCGTCACTACTCCTTCTCTCCATTCCTAAATTCCGTCCCACCATCACAATCCCTCTCACTCTTGTCCTTCCATCTTTGCCTCTTTACCACCTTACCTACCTCCCTATGTCTCTACCTCTACCTCCCATTCCCTACCTCTACATTCCTACCTCCCTGCCTCTACCTCCCTACCTCCCTACTTCCCTCTCTACCTCCCTACCTCTACGTCTCTACCTCTTTATCTCTCTACCCTCTACCTCCCTACCTTTCTACCTCTCACACAAACTATCGCTCCTGCACCATAAGCATCAACATGCCATAATTTTAACCGAATCATTGTTTCTAGATTCATAGGAGATTGGTGGTAATCCTAGCAAGGGGGTTTTAATTCCTGACAGGAGGCTGTAATTTCTAGCAGGAGAATGATAAATCCTAGCTATAGGGTCCTAACTCCTAGCTAGAGGGTCCTAAATCCTAGCTTGAGGGTCCTAACTCCTAGCTAGAGGGTCCTAACTCCTAGCTGGAGGGTCCTAACTCCTAGCTGGAGGGTCCTAACTCCTAGCTGGAGGGTCCTAACTCCTAGCTGGAGGGTCCTAACTCCTAGCTGGAGGGTCCTAACTCCTAGCTGGAGGGTCCTAACTCCTAGCTGGAGGGTCCTAACTCCTAGCTAGAGGGTCCTAACTCCTAGCTAGAGGGTCCTAACTCCTAGCTGGAGGGTCCTAACTCCTAGCTAGAGGGTCCTAACTCCTAGCTAGAGGGTCCTAATTCCTAGGAGACCAGGAATTTCAATGAGAAGAATTTGTAAACTGTCCCTAATTCTTTATTCAAATAGATTATTCTTAGTTCTAGCAGAAATGTGTCAATTCTAAGGAAGCCGTCCTTAGCTTCTAGAAGAAACATTCTAACCCCGTCATTAGAGTCTATAGTCGTTCTTGTTTCTAGTAAAAGGGATTCAATTTTCGTCAAGATAATAATTCCTCGATGGAAAATGAAAATTCCCATCAAAATTCTCAAGAAAATTTCCAAGACGCCCAAGAAAATATAATTCCTCCCATGAGGGGCCCGAATCCCAAACTTTCTTGAGGAAACTTTCAACTTGCAACTGAATCTTGCCCGCTGAATCCCATATATGAGACGTTATTCTTTTGATGTGGGCTTCAGGAGACAGACAGGTTTGGTGTGATATCAACTCCTAGATCTTTCTCTCTGTCCGTTTCGTTAAGGACTTCATCTCCCATTCAGTATCCTTGTGTCTGGCCTCCTGTTTCCACCGCCTAGTTTCATTGTCTTACATTTACTCGGGTTGAACTTTAATAGCCATTTGTTGGACCATGCATTCAGTTATGTCTAAATCTAGAGACCTTGCTGAGATCATCAGCACGACGAATTCCTAGGATCGTCCTAGAAAATCGAACCCTCTGTAATCCTAGCACATAAATCCCTAGTAAAAAATATTAACACATTTCCAATTTCTTGATAGACAATTTATCGAGATGACTAAAGAGGGGGAGGGATTTTTAGAAGAGGGGAGGGGGGCGGGCTAAGAAAATTGTATATTTTCAACTAAATTTTTACTGAAACTTTCCACTTAGTTGTACCTAACAGGAGAAAGTAGAGTCTCTATTATTTGTGTATCGTTAGACTATGTTGGGTGGGAAGTGGTAGAGGGAGATGTTACAGCATAAGAGGGTCGCAGTCCCTCCCAGCCTCTCCCGTCGCAGTCCCTCCCAGCCTCTCCCGTCGCAGTCCCTCCCAGCCTCTCCCGTCGCAGTCCCTCCCAGCCTCTCCCGTCGCAGTCCCTCCCAGCCTCTCCCGTCGCAGTCCCTCCCAGCCTCTCCCGTCGCAGTCCCTCCCAGCCTCTCCCGTCGCAGTCCCTCCCAGCCTCTCCCGTCGCAGACCCTCCCAGCCTCTCCCGTCGCAGACCCTCCCAGCCTCTCCCGTCGCAGTCCCTCCCAGCCTCTCCCGTCGCAGTCCCTCCCAGCCTCTCCAGTCGCAGTCCCTCCCAGCCTCTCCCGTCGCAGTCCCTCCCAGCCTCTCCCGTCGCAGTCCCTCCCAGCCTCTCCCGTCGCAGTCCCTCCCAGCCTCTCCCGTCGCAGTCCCTCCCAGCCTCTCCCGTCGCAGTCCCTCCCAGCCTCTCCCGTCGCAGTCCCTCCCAGCCTCTCCCGTCGCAGACCCTCCCAGCCTCTCCCGTCGCAGACCCTCCCAGCCTCTCCCGTCGCAGACCCTCCCAGCCTCTCCCGTCGCAGTCCCTCCCAGCCTCTCCCGTCGCAGTCCCTCCCAGCCTCTCCCGTCGCAGTCCCTCCCAGCCTCTCCCGTCGCAGTCCCTCCCAGCCTCTCCCGTCGCAGTCCCTCCCAGCCTCTCCCGTCGCAGACCCTCCCAGCCTCTCCCGTCGCAGACCCTCCCAGCCTCTCCCGTCGCAGACCCTCCCAGCCTCTCCCGTCGCAGTCCCTCCCAGCCTCTCCCGTCGCAGTCCCTCCCAGCCTCTCCCGTCGCAGTCCCTCCCAGCCTCTCCCGTCGCAGTCCCTCCCAGCCTCTCCCGTCGCAGTCCCTCCCAGCCTCTCCCGTCGCAGTCCCTCCCAGCCTCTCCCGTCGCAGTCCCTCCCAGCCTCTCCCGTCGCAGTCCCTCCTAGCCTCTCCCGTCGCAGTCCCTCCCAGCCTCTCCCGTCGCAGTCATATCGCCTCACACTACAGATTAACAACACAAAAGAGACAGGCTACACACATCTGTGCGCACCTAAGCTGCGACTTATCTTAAGAGTCCAGCCTAAACTCCCGCAGGAAGTGATTGCTCCTCCACGCTCGTCGGGGGGGGGATGCAATAAAGTGCTTGGCCCACAGGAACCAATCCCAGAGCTCTTGGGAGGAGAGGCTGATTCGTCCTGATTGCCTCGTGACGCTCTTATCTCGTGACCAATCACCAGCTGCCACGCTCTTGCACTTCCCTGAATGGTCGAGAGCGTTTCAAGAGCAGTGACAAATGACTAGAATTTAATTAAACATATAATCACCAGGTTAAATATGACAAGTCACGTGTTTATAACGATCTGACGTGAATACTGAGGAGCGTTGAGGAGCGTTGAGGAGCGTTGAGGAGCGTTGCAACGGTAGACGTAATATTCAAGTTCTTGCAGGTACACAAACAATAATTTTAAAAGACCTTTGCAATTGCATTCAGATGAATTTCTCAAGGTTTCTCAGTGCTCCTCACTTCATCAGAAAACATCAGTGTTTCTGTTCCATGTTGCTGTGTTTCTTTATGGTTGTCCAGAGTCTTGGAGTGTGTGTGTTGCACTGTTTTGTGTTCCGTCTGTGTGGGGCTCCGTCCGGGTCGCACTGTGTGTGGGGCTCCGTCCGGGTCGCAGTGTGTGGGGCTCCGTCCGGGTCGCACTGAGTGTGGGGCTCCATCCGGGTCGCAGTGTGTGGGGCTCCATCCGGGTCGCAGTGTGTGGGGCTCCATCCGGGTCGCAGTGTGTGGGGCTCCATCCGGGTCGCAGTGTGTGGGGCTCCATCCGGGTCGCAGTGTGTGGGGCTCCATCCGGGTCGCAGTGTGTGGGGCTCCATCCGGGTCGCAGTGTGTGGGGCTCCATCCGGGTCGCAGTGTGTGGGGCTCCGTCCGGGTCGCACTGAGTGTGGGGCTCCGTCTGGGTCGCACTGAGTGTGGGGCTCCGTCTTGCCCACTCACACTTCTCTGGAAAATTATATACATGGCTTTGTTTACCTCTCTGGGCCAGGCTTGTGGGCCTCGGCAGCTCCCACATAGTACATAAAATAATAAAACATGGTAAATGGGACAATTTCGTTTGGTAATGGTGGCTACAAATAGTGGCTACAAATAGTGGCTACAAATAGTGGCTACAAATAGTGGCTACAAATAGTGGCTACAAATAGTGGCTACAAATAGTGGATAGAGATCAAAACTATCCTCTCGTTCCGCTACGTTTCAGGAGAGTAAATTTTCACCAATTTCGAAGTTGATGATGGATGTGAACTTTACAGTAGTCGCTATATCATCGTTGGTCACATATCTTACAAAGTTATAAAGCCGATTGGGATTTTTCTCTTTTAAAGAATCTAAAAAAAAATGTGCATGGAGAAACAAATTCAACCAAAATACAAAAAATTACCAATAATTTTCTATCGATCATTTGCGAAGATCAGAAAATTTGCAATTATTGTTTTTTTTTAATTAATGCCGCTAATATCTATCTATCTAGTGTGGCTAAAGGTTTTTGAAAGTAGGAGAAAATGTGATTTCAATGCAATATTATTATTTTTGTTTGTTAGATATATACAAGAGTTGTTACATTCTTGTACAGCCACTAGTACGCATAGCGTTTCGGGCAGGTCCCTGGAATACGATCCCCGCCGCGAAGAATCGTAAATTATCGTAAATCGTAAATTATGATCTCTCGGGAAGGTCATTTTAGTAATGCTGGCGGTGAGAAAGTGGTTTGATGCTTGTGTGTTATTTGCCTCTCTCCCAACATCTATCTGTGTCCTCACTCCATCCAATTTCTATCTCCTATTCCTCCCTCTTTCTCCTCTCATCTTTTATTTTCTTTGCGTTTTCT